AATTTCTTAATCACATGAAAACTAAAGCATAATATACCAAAACATAGGGTGCAGCAAAGGCAGTAATACTCAATTAGAAGTGAATGATGGGGGGAGTGCGGAGTGGAGACCCAAAGCCCATTAGCAGGCTACTGGAGACCCCCTTGCAGAGGGGTCTCAGGGAGGAGACGAGCCAGTCAGGGGGCAATGTAGCAACGATGAAAAATACAATTTTCCTCTAGTTCCTAAATGTTTCCTCCCCGCTCCCACAATCATGATATGAATTCTACCTTGCAAGTCTGGCTAGACCAGAGGATGTACACTGGTACAGATAGGAACTGGAAATACAGGGAATCCTGGGAGGATGAGCCCTACAGGACCAGTGATGTGAGTGGTGATACTGGGAAGGTAGAGGGAGAATGGGTTGGAAAGAGAAAACGGATTACAAGGAACTATCTGTGACTTCTTCCCTGGGGGACGGACAACAGAAAAGTGGGTGAAGGGAGATGTCGGATAGGGCAAGAGATGGCAAAATAATAATTTATAAATTATCAAGGGCTCATGAAGGAGGGGGGAGCGGGGAGGGAGAGGAAAAATGAGGACCTAATGCCGGGGGCTTAAGTGGAGAGGAAATGTTTTGAGAATGATGAGGGCAATGAATGTACAAATGTGCTTTACACAATTGATGTATGTATGGATTATGATGAGTTTTATAAGCCCCTAATAAAATGATTTAAAAAATACTCAATTAGAAACCTATAGCAATATCTGCATAAATAAAAAGATGTCAAGTTAACAGCTCATCTTGACAACTCCAGGAACTAAAAAGAAAAGGGAAAACAAAGCCAATACCTACCAGAAGAAAGTAAATAACAATGATCAGAGCAGAAATAAAAGAAAAACAATAGACAATGAATAAAACCAGAAGTTGGTTCTGTGAAAAGATCAATAAAGCTAACAAACTTTTGAGCTAGACCCAATGCTGTAACTCTTTAATACAGTTCATGTTGTGGTGACCCCCTAATCATAAAATTATTTTTGTTGCTACTTCATAACTGTATTTGCTACTGTTATGAATCAGGCAACCCCTGTGAAAGGGTCTTTTGACCCCCAAAGGGGTCACGACCCACAGGTTGAGAAGTACTGAGCTAGACAAAGAAAAGATGCAAATAACCAAACTGAATCATGAAATTCTGTACCATTGGCTAAATTAAGGAAAATATCAATCAATAGAAGTACCTTATACCCCAGAGAGATAATGTTCTCTAACATAAAATGTCAATGATGTCTCCAAAGTGAACCACAGACATACATAAACCATAGCTATGTGAATTAATTTGGGGTTGCAATTAATTCTAGCCCCAATCTAAGAACAATTAGTTTTTATGACATGGGTCTACTTAACACTAGTCCTCATGAAGAGACAGATCAATGAAGATATGGGTGCTATAGCAAAGTGTGGTGAAGAAATTAGATGGTGTCCAGCTATCACAAAGAATACCATCTGGGGTCTTAACAGCTTGTCTTCAAAGCAGCAGCCATCTAAGTGAGGCATCAATTAAGTCCACATGGAAAAAGCACACCAGCTTGTGTTACCCAAGCAATGTAAACAATATACGCAATCCAAATCCAAAGGAGGGAATGGTATCAGAGCTTAAATTCTGAACACCCAGCTTGCAGAAGGCTATATGACAGTGGAAGCCCAAAATCCATTTACAGGGTTCACACACAGATTGAACTTTAAGTGAATACCCTTTGTCCATAGTTTCGGGATTTGAATAGCCCTCAGACAATAAGTATTGTGGAAACATTAGAGTAGATATATCTCAAAATTCAATTCCATCAAGTCAATGCTGACTCATAGCAAATGACCCTATAATAGGACAGGGCAGAACTGCCCCTGTGGGTTTCTGAGACTATAACTGTTAATGGGAATATAAAACCCTATCTTTCTCTCACAGAGTGGTAGTTTCAAACTGCTGACCTGCTGTATATCCCAGGCCAACACATAACAACTATGCCACCAGGGCTTATTTAGGTTAAAATGTAACATCTTACTTGATCCCCCTTTTGTCCCATGTAAAAAAAGTTTTATCAGTTTAAAAAGAGGGGAGAGGAATGTACAGGGTTTAAATCTTCAATGAATTCCCTCTGAACAAAGACCAGGGGTGTGAATAGCCTTGCCATCATGCATAGCACATTGGAAAATTGATTATGGCAAATAAAATAAACACTTCATCACTTGATCTCCCTTTTGATCCATTTTAAAATTGTACTAGTTTTTAGTGTTTTCTGCATTCTTTTCCATTGGTGTTAATTTCTTTATTTTTGTATGTTTTCCAGTATATGAAATCCAGGTTGAAAGAGTCTAGAAAGACAGTAACTACATTAATGGTTTCTTAGGGTATAGCAAGGGAGGCTGAGGGGGGAAATGGGAAGCTAATAATAGGAGTACAAGAAAGCAAATGTTCTAAAATTTACTGTGGTAATGACTATACAACTCTTCTTCGCATGACTGAAATAATAAATTGTATATGTGGATTGTGTACCAATAAACTTTTTGTTTTTAAGTGAAAACCTTATTAAATGACTCTACAGAACCAAAGAACTATGACAAAATATTATGAACAACTGTATTGCAACAACCTGGATAACGTAGATGAATGAGCAAATTCTTAGAAGCATGCAACCAAAATTACTCCAGAGGGCCTGTTGAAACAATTTCGTTTACTAGAGTAATTAATAAAATATAATACTTAGGACCTATCAATATAATCAAGTACATGAAGGACTTATACAGAACACTTAAACATTTGGGAAAATGTTCCATGTTCATGGACCAAAATACTTAGTATTATTAAGATGTTAATATTATCCAAAGCAATCTATAGATTCAACACAATCCACATCAAAATTCGAACAGCCTTCTTTACAGATATAGGAAAATAATTCTTAACTGTGTATGAAATGCAAAGAAACCTTAAGTAGAACAACGTTCTGAAAAGAGAATAGAAGGCATCACATTTCCTGATTTTAAAACACAGTATACAGCTATAGTAATCAAAACAGTCTAGTACTAGTACAACAGATACGGAGACCAATGGAATGGAATTGTGTCCAGAAATAAACCTATACATCTATAGTGCTAAGTCCATGCAATAGCAAAAGAAAAGTCTCTTCAATAAAAGGTGCCAATGAAAGCGAACCATGTATACTACATACAAATTCAAAATATATTAAGTATTTAAATGTACAAACTAAAACCATAAAATTCCTAGAAAAATCAAGGACAACACTGTCTGGCCTACCTTTCAGAATTGGTTTATCTAAAAGATAAAAACAAAAAAGCAAAAGAAGAAAGTTAGATGTAGGACCTCATAAATATTAAAGACTTTTGTTTATTAAAAGACTTTACAAAAAAAGTACAAAGACAAGCTGGTGACAGAGAGAGTAGCTCCAGAAACCATGTATTTGGCAAGAGTCTAACAACAAATTATATATAACACTTTGACAAACAACTAAAAGACAATCCAATAATAAAGTAGACAGAAGACCTGGATAGGTATTTCACCAAAGAGGGCATTTAAATGTTCATCAAACACATGAAAAGATTCTCAAGTTAATTAACCACCAGAAATATACATCAAAACCACGATAGGCCATTTTACTTCCACTTGAGCAGCTAAGATTTTTTTAATAAAAAATATATGAAATACCAATATTGGCAATGGTATGAGAAAAACAAATCCATTGTTGGTGGAAATGCAAATGATAGTTATGGGAAACAGAGTGACAATTCCTAAAAATATTAAAAATGAACAACCATATGATCCATTACTTTTACTCCTAGGTACAAACTCAAGATGCATAGACTCTTGCATACCAATATTCCTTGTAGCATTATTCACAATAGCCAAAAGGTGTAAACAGTCTAAAGATCTACCAACAGATAAATGGATACAACAAATGGAACAACAAAATGTAATACATACATACAACTGAATACCATTCCATCGGTTCGAGAAATTAATATGTGCTACAATACAGATGAAGTGTTAAGACATTATTTTGAGCAAAATATGATAAAAGGGCAAATATTAAATTACTTCACCTACACTAAAGTGGCTATTACTAAGCAAAGGGAGTCAAAAGAGGGTTGGCAGTGATGGAAAATTATACTGAGTAGTATTGAACAATTATTGTTAATTCCTGTCAATAATGTACACTTGTAAAAAGCTGAATTGGCAAAACTTGTATCATAGAGATATTTACAATGGAATATATGAGTGTGGAATATATGAGCATGCGCACTAAGACTGCTTCAAAGAATTAAACACCTCATGGAACTTGGTTCCTTGGTTTAGTGCAGAGGTCCTCAAACTGGGGCCCGCGGGAGGACATTTATCCGGCCCACCGGGTGTTTTTGCCCCATTTGTTTTTTACTTCAAAATAAGATATGTGCAGTATGCATAGGAATTTGTTCATAGTCTTTTTTAAACTATAGTCCGGCCTTCCAATGGGTCTGAGGGACAGTGAACTGCCCCCCCTCCCCCCATTTAAAAAGTTTGAGGACCCTTGGTTTAGGGTTTAAGAGTCGTGGTTTCATGGGAAATTCTACTTAATTAGCCTAATACTACATGTTAAGCTTCTGTTCTACCTCCTAGATTGCTATGTAGCACCTGTGGTCTTAAAAACTTTCAAACAGCCATCAAAAGGAACAAGTGGTCTCTCTTTACCTGGAGTAACATGTTGAAGGCCATTTGGACTCAGCCTTGAAACGGCTGAGAAGATATAAACCCAGGTGTCAGTATCTACTGTTTGCTTCTGCAGCTTGAGACCAAGAAAAAGAACAAGGACGTATGCGAGTTCTGGGAAATCAGGATGGTTAATTTTCTCAAGGATGCTTGGTTTGGAAAAGCAGAGTTGTTATTATGCATGCAATGTGCTTGCTTAACACTAAGAAAAATATAAACCTGGGTTGTTTCTGCATGTATAAAAGGAAGATGTAGAATAAACTCGGGGCTTCAGTATTCACTGTTGCCCTCCCAATACTTTCTGTCTCTCTTCCTTAATCCTCACTCCCCCTTTCTGGACCATTCGACTCGTCAGCAGGCTCCGAAAGATTGGGGCCCGGACAGGGGGCTGAAAACAGGGGACCCAGTGAAGGACACCGCGGATTACAAAGGTGTACACGAAGAGATTAGTGTGCGGTGAGTAACAATTGGGAGTAAAATGGGGCAAGGAAATAACAAACTGATTTTTGTATATATGCTTCAAGATATGTTAAAAGCTAGAGGAGCAAAATAAGTTATCAAAGATTAGAGAAGTTTTTAGATTTTGTAGTTAAAGTATGTCCTTGGTTCCCTGAGGATGGGACTGTAAATATTGAAACTTGGATGAAAGTAGGGGAACGACTAAAAGATCACTATGCAAGTAATGGACCTAGCAATGTCCCTATAGATACGTTTTGCCTATGGAATTTAAGTAGGGATAACTTGGATCCTAGGCAAGAGGGACTTTTGGAGTTAATAACTTAACCTATGTGAAGCAGGGAAAAGCGGAAGGGAGCACCTCTGTAATTACAAAAGGGACTGACTTTCGGTGGGAAGAAAAGGAAAAAGAAAAATGGGAAATGGGAAATTCCCCGTCCATGGAACCCAAATACCAAAAGTTGATAAAAGGACTTCTCCAGGGTTGGAGGTTAAAGATAAATTATTGGGAGAATTATTTGCGCCTGTACGACATTGTTATTGGTTTTACAGTAAAGAAAAGGTAAAATTGAATTCACGAGCATGGCAACAAGTAGTGAAAACATTACGCACTGCTCATCAACGGAGACAGACTATGAATTTAAAGCTATGGTCTTTATGTAGTGCTATTACTCAAGCTTTAGTTAGTAGGGACAGATTCGGAGAAAGGTGAAGAAAGTGATAAAGATAGGAAAGAGAGTGGAATCCAAAGGGAGGAAGAGGAGTATGCAGAAGTAGCTGAGGAGGAATTAGGTCCAGCATTAACAAGGAAAGAATCAGGTGATGTCGTGATAGAAGGAAAAGATGTTCGAGAGCATAAAGGATTGTTAAAACAAATGCTTAAGTGTCATTCTAACAGCCCTTTAGCTGCTCCATTACCCGGAGCTTTCACTTTCGCAAGGCCAAAACATGGGGCGGAGCTGCCTCCCAATCCAGGAATAACAGCTTTTCCCATATCAGAGCCTGTGCAGGGATGGCAGAACTGCATAACAAGCTGAGTTGTTTGCAGGGGCTATAGCTGGTGCTATAGCTATGATTGGTGGAAAGTGCTCTGTCTGCTAAAATCACTGACAGGCATTGGAGGATTCTGCAACCCTCTCTCATTTTCCTAAGCCTAAAAGAAAGTGTTCCCCACCAGAACCAATAGTTTATAGAGCCATAGGAGGAGAGATTTTACAATGGGGTCGGGAGGTTGCTCTTATCTCCACAGATTCCGGAACTGAGTGGTTGCCAACCCAACTTCTGAAACGGAGAGATGGCTAAGAAGTACTGCACTCAGAAGTTTCTGCAAGAGTTTAAAAATTTTCCCATTTCCTTTTGCTGAAGAAGGCAAGCATATTAATAATTATAGCTTGGGGATGAGGGGCTCCCTATTTTCCAAGGATATGGTTCTCATTGTTTATCTTATTCACATAAGGTTTGGGGAGTTAGGTATAATCATTCTTCTTTTGCAGCAACTACAGTTCTTAACTTCATATTAATGCTACTCGGTATATTCAAGCCTGTGTGAAAATTCCTTATGTTATTTTATCAGGAGATATTACTTGGAATTCTAGTACAGGGGTTATGACTTGTTCTTCAAATTGTACTTTACAACATTGTGTAAATTTTACCTGGTGGAAAACTTTTAACCAAACCCGAGAGTTTATATCTTGTTAAAGCAAGTCCTGAGATTTGGTTACCTGTCAATTTAATTCGACCCTGGAGCGAATCTGCGAGAGTAATGCAGATCTACAATGCCTTGACTTAATTGATCCATCGAATGAAGAGAATGATTGGACTGATAATAGCCACAGTGATTGCACTTGTAGCTGTAGCAACTACTGCAGGAGTGGCGGGAGTTGCTTTGCAGCAAGAAATACAAACAGCAGACTTTGTTCGAGGGTGGCATAGAGATTCTCATCTGTTGTGGCAACAACAACATGACATTGATACTCAAATAGCTGAAGACATCGCCAACTTACAACAAACAATGTTGTGGATTGGGAGATCAGATATCTGTGTTAGCTACTCAAGTTATGCTTCGATGTGATTGGAACACCTCTCATTTTTGGACTACTCCTGTTCTGTGTAACGTTAGTAAGGATTGGAAAGATTAGAAATTTATTAATTGGACATAAAAATGTATCTTTAGAAATTCAGTTATTGGAATATCAAATTGGTGAAACTTTCAGTAGACAATTACCCAAACTTACTGTCTTCTATTAACCCTTTGGAACAAGCAAAAGCTTTATTATCTTTAACCATTGGTAGTGTTATTCTATTAATCATTAAGGTTATGGTTGAATTATTGGCCTTAAGTACAAAGTTACATGAAGTACACCTGCATACTTCGCCCCCTCCCCAAACAGGGGTATAAGGCAGAGGCTGGTTAGTCAGAGGCGGGTAAGATTGAGTCCGAGTCTCTCAACCTAAGACAGGTCATAGTCGCCTGGAGGACTGTGGCTGATGACGGGTAAGAGTGATTTCAGGACTCGACAACCTAAAACAGGCACAGTCATCTGCCGACGTTTTGAGTAAAAACGACTTTAGTGAATAAAAAAGGGGGAGCTGTTGAAGGCCATTAAGACTCAGCCTTGAAACGGCTGAGAAGATATAAACCCAGGTGTCATATCTGCTGTTTGCTTCTGCGGCTTGAGACCAAGAAAAAGAACAAGGACGAAAGCGAGTTCTGGGAAATCAGGATGATTAACTTTCTCAAGGATGCTTGGTCTGGAAAAACATAGAGTTGTTGTGTATGCAATGTGCTTGCTTAACACTGAGAAAAATATAACCCCGGGTTGTTTCTGCATGTATAAAAGGAAGATGTAGAATAAACTCGGGGCTTCAATATTCAACTGTTGCCCTCCCAATACTTTCTGTCTCTCTTTTTTCCCTTAATCCTCACTCCCCCTTTCAGGACCGTTTGACTCGTCGGTAGGCTCCGACAGTAACAGGAAGGAAGACAGTCAGGCAAGGAAGAGGATATGAGATGTATGACTATCTCCATGAACAAATATTTCATCTGTCAGGATTCCAGAAGAACTGGATGGTGCCTGACTACCTTATGGATCTTTTTAATCAGAACCCCCAGAAGAATTCTGAAAATGCAGAACAGAATTTTAAACCTCATAGACTATACTTTCTGGAGCCAGAGAGGGTGAATAATTTCCTTAACTTCCTGAGATAATCTGTAAACCTTAAAACAAAAATAATACCCTGAAAACGTAAAACCAAAACTAAATTCACTGTCATCTAGTCAATTCAAACTCATATCATCCCTATAGCAATCCTGAAGTCTTATTATTAAAATGATTTAGCTTAACTAGTAAAAAATGACATATGAGATCTAAGTAACAACAGCAACTTGAGAGAGGGTTTAAGAAGCTTAGGGAGCAATAAGTTTGTTATCTAGGAAAGAACAACTCAGAAAAGAACAGTACTGTACAACTCTAAGAATATATTAAATTATACATACAGGAACTACTGAATTAGTTTATATTCAGCAACAAAAGTAATACAATTAGAAAAAAGTGTAACTAAGACTTTCATTTTTATTTATAGCCCATAATTTTTAAATACGTACTTTTATGTAAAGAGCGTTAATATATTAATATAGTAGAACAAGTACATACATACTTGTATACCTAATATTGGTACAATCTTTAAAATATCTTACCATATTATATACCACCCCCAAAAGTTTGGAGACTATCCCTGGTGGCACTATTGGGTAACTACAATGTCAGCAGTTTAAACTCATCAGCCACTCTAGGGAAAGAAAGACTGTATCTGTTCCTGTGAAGATTTAAAGGGTCACTCAGTTAATGAGTAGGACTCAGCTTAATGGTAGTAGGTTGTGTTGTATTATCTTAATGAAGGAAACCTCATATACACAAAAGTAGCAAAATTGACACTCACACCCCAAGAGTCAAACAATACAAAAACTAAATAGTCCTCAAAATTTTTGAACAATGGGTGTATGACCACAATCCATAATAAACGTGAATTTTACAAACTAAGGTTGACATTCCATTAATTAGGAAGAAAGCATCTAAAAAAGTCTAGTGAAGTAAGATCTGCCAAGTGTTCAAATCTGCCAAGATGAGTTCATGTAGCAAGAAAAAAATACTAATTCCAGGCTTCCTAGAACAACTACAGAAACTCTGATTGAGACAGCTGTTTGTTATCCAGTAGCCATACAATCTTTCTTCCAAACTCATTAGAATTCTTGTATTTTAGCTGGGTAAATGGTCACCCAAAATAAAGACTTTTCAACCTACTTTACTGCCAAATGTAGCCATTGTGAAAAAGCAAAAATCTTAAAGGCAACTATAAGGGTATAATCTTAAAGCCAGAGACATGTATTCTCTTTCCCCTTTAACTGATTAGAATCCACATTCAGCAGCTATCAAAATAGTGTATGTATAAGCAACTGTAAGAAAAATGAAGTTTGAGTCTCTGACATTGTGTGTTCCACACCAGTTCTAGTCATTTCTCATCATTACATGACAAAGTATATATTTATTACTTCCTACCATTGATTTCTGGGGCTTTAACTCTCAATTGAACCCAATTCTAATGAAAACCAAGGTCAAAATGTTTAAGTTTTGGGGTCATTTCTGGGGTCAGTCACTCAAGAGGTTGAGGAAATGGGCAGTCATGCCTAAAATGTGGTTCAGGTTTCCTACTTCTCCAATAGCAGGATTCTGCCACTGCTCAAGAATTATAAAGTCAGCTCCGGTGGCTAGCAGGTACACCCACCCCTAGGACAAGAAAGGTGATTCAGGGATAAACAACAACAAAAAATCCACTACCATGAAGTCAATATAGACTCATAACAACCCTACAAAACAGGGTAGAACTGCCCCAGTGAAGTTCCGAAACTGTAACTGTTTACGGGAGTAGAAAGCCCCATCTTCCTCCCTTGGAGCACGCTGGTAGTTTCCCAACTGCAGACCTTGTGAATCGCAGCCCAACCTGTCAGCACTAAGCCACAGGGTTCAACAGGGCCCTAAAAGTTTCCCACTCCTGGGTAGTAGCTAGTCTCAGTCTCTAGAAAAAGAATCAACCACTCTCATCAACATCATGATGCACTTATCTTTTTTAAATCAAATTCCTCTTTAGTCAAAATTCTCAAAATAAAGCAGAGTAATCTACTCCTAGGTATGTACCTTCCCTAAACCATGTGTCATTAACATGCACACCTGTATCCACTAACAATAACAAAAAGATGGGTGCAACCTAAGATGAGTCCAATAGATGAATGCTACATACATATATACACAAAATAAATACTACTAAGCCACACACACACACACACAAAATAAGTTCATGAATCATCATTCTATGTGGATGATCCTGGATGGCATTATTTGGAACAAAGTAAGGTAACCATAAAAGAATAAATAAAGTATAATCTCACTTTTATGAAATAACAAAAAGGTAAATATATACAGATCAATAATTAGTAGTAGTTAACCAGTTTTATTTTCAGGAGTGTTTATGGTCATGGAAAAGGTAGCACTAAAAGTGGATGAAGTTTGCACAATTTGACTATATAATTGATGGCACTAAGTTACACCCAATAAAAAGGATGAATTGGCAAATGCTATGTTATATATGATTTTGCAACAATGAAAATATACATAGACCAATTAGGAGTTACATATGCTTATACTTCTCAGAGATAACCATTCACATTACAGGACTAGTTTTCATTGTTTGAAAATAGGGTCACTTCTTAAAGGGGTGGTTCTCAACCTGGGGGTAGCGACCCCTTTGGGGGGGTCGAATGAAACTTTCATAGGGGTCGCCCGATTCTTAACAGTAGCAAAATTACAGTTATGAAGTAGCAACAAAAATAATTTTACGGTTGGGTTCACCACGAGGAACTGTACTCAAGGGTCGCGGCATTAGGAAGGTGAGAACCACTGTCATAATGGATAATTCAGTCAAGGGGCATACAGTAATTCTAAAAGTTTACGTTCTACCTCCTAGTTGATGAATAGGGTCTGGAGTCTTAAAACCGTACCAGCAGTTATCTAGGATACGACTACTGGTCTATATTCGCCTGGTGCAAAAAGAAGGAAACCCTAGAATCTGGGAACTTTTTATTTCTTTTACTATATCATACATTATGATAAATAAATATATGTACATATATATATAAAATCACACACCACCCTCAGTTTTAGTGTCAGAAACAAGTTTTTCTATTCCAAGACATTCCTTTTTATTTCTTTAAGAACACTAATTTTTTGGTTGTTTTTTGGGCAATTTAGCATGTTTTCATCTGACGATGATTACTAAAAATCTGTAAGCCAAAGCAGTGCTCTACCTACAGCATTTTATTTACCATCTTAATTCCTGGACCCCATCCTATCTAGTTCTACTGTTTCCTTAAACTGTGTTCTTTTCTTCAGTCAAAATGTATTGTTTGAATGCCTACTACGAGGCTTCAAAAAGCTCCTGGTATGGCTGAGCATTAGTCTTAAGCAAAACACTTGGAAACATCCGTGAACAACATATGCGGTGCATCTAGATTAGCTACTGAGCTAAAACAGAGCAGCTAATTTTTTTAATGTTTAAAAATATTTTAATAATTAAAGTGTTTAGGAATAAGTTCATGAATCCTTTAAGGAATAAAACCTATTGTTAAAAAATTACGAAGGCTCTAGGATTTTATTCTCACAAAGAGGCCACTCTGATTGTTTAATGGGTGCAGGCAGAGACGGCTGGGTCAAACACAGGGTACTGATATTCCCGCCACAGCAAGCAGCATGATCATGTTGTTATTTTGTACTACTCTAATTCCATAGGGGCAATGGAAATGCCTATTCAGGCAGTGGGATGGAATACTGCGCAATAACAAGTCTGTTCTTTGTTTAAGGCAGGGGTGAGAAGCATGCATTACTTGACTTTTCAAGGTTGTTTGTTGCAAACACAACACTGACAAACTGCCTCAGTAAGGAGTCCCCAGGTGATGCAAACGGCTAATGTGCTCAGCTGTTAACAGATAAGTTCAAGTCCACCAAGAGGCCTTTCCAAAGACAGACTTACCTAATTCTGAAAAGTCAGCCATTGAAAACCCTTTGTAGTACAATCCTACACTGACACATTAGGGGCCTCTGACACACAAATGACTAAGGGTAACTGGGGTCTTTTTTAAAGAAGTAGTGTTCTCACCCACCCCCTCACCCACCCAGAAAAATGCACTACAGAGAACAGCACTGAAGATACAGCTCAGGGAGAGGCGGGCATCTGATCAGAACACACAGGAGCAAACAATTAAGGGAAGGAGAAAGAGTGGAACAAATCCTGGTTCACCAAGCCCCAGGACAATATTCCTGCTAAGAGCAGTCAATGCAGAGAAAACCAGAGGGCCAACCCCACCATCAAACACAATATCCCTCACTGACCCATAGCACTACGAGGGACAACACCGGAAGCACAGTGCAGGAATTTGCCCAAGTTGACCCCACCACATCCGGCTGAAACACTAAGGGCATGCAACAAAGCAGCAAGGGGAGCAAAGTAGTAAGTCCCCACTAAATACCAAAAATAGACTCTGGGGCCATGTGGGAAACAGAAGGATTTCTCTCAAACTGTCTCCCCCAAATATATGCCAGACTTAGCTGCTTGAGAATGACTATACATTTGGAGGTCATCGGGAGTAGATTAGGGGTCATTCTCCCTTAGAACTATCAGCCACCTGGAGCAAGCAGACACCACTGTTTATCCCAAGTAGGGCCCACTCCCTTCTGATAAGGATAGCAGTTGTCTGTTTCCTTGTAGGAGCCACCAGAGAGGTCAAACCCGCCCAAGGATGACCAAGGTTAGGCTACCATCATGAATC